ACCTAACCTAAGCTAACCTAACCTAACATAACCTAACCCAACCTAAGCTAACCTAACCTAACATAACATAACCTAACCTAACCTAAGCTAACCTAACCTAACATAACCTAACCCAACCTAAGCTAACCTAACCTAACATAACATAACCTAACCTAACCTAAGCTAACCTAACCTAACATAACCTAACCCAACCTAAGCTAACCTAACCTAACATAACATAACCTAACCTAACCTAAGCTAACCTAACCTAACATAACCTAACCCAACCTAAGCTAACCTAACCTAACATAACATAACCTAACCTAACCTAAGCTAACCTAACCTAACATAACCTAACCCAACCTAAGCTAACCTAACCTAACATAACATAACCTAACCTAACCTAAGCTAACCTAACCTAACATAACCTAACCCAACCTAAGCTAACCTAACCTAACATAACATAACCTAACCTAACCTAAGCTAACCTAACCTAACATAACCTAACCCAACCTAAGCTAACCTAACCTAACATAACATAACCTAACCTAACCTAAGCTAACCTAACCTAACATAACCTAACCCAACCTAAGCTAACCTAACCTAACATAACATAACCTAACCTAACCTAAGCTAACCTAACCTAACATAACCTAACCCAACCTAAGCTAACCTAACCTAACATAACATAACCTAACCTAACCTAAGCTAACCTAACCTAACATAACCTAACCCAACCTAAGCTAACCTAACCTAACATAACATAACCTAACCTAACCTAAGCTAACCTAACCTAACATAACCTAACCCAACCTAAGCTAACCTAACCTAACATAACATAACCTAACCTAACCTAAGCTAACCTAACCTAACATAACCTAACCCAACCTAAGCTAACCTAACCTAACATAACATAACCTAACCTAACCTAAGCTAACCTAACCTAACATAACCTAACCCAACCTAAGCTAACCTAACCTAACATAACATAACCTAACCTAACCTAAGCTAACCTAACCTAACATAACCTAACCCAACCTAAGCTAACCTAACCTAACATAACATAACCTAACCTAACCTAAGCTAACCTAACCTAACATAACCTAACCCAACCTAAGCTAACCTAACCTAACATAACATAACCTAACCTAACCTAAGCTAACCTAACCTAACATAACCTAACCCAACCTAAGCTAACCTAACCTAACATAACATAACCTAACCTAACCTAAGCTAACCTAACCTAACATAACCTAACCCAACCTAAGCTAACCTAACCTAACATAACATAACCTAACCTAACCTAAGCTAACCTAACCTAACATAACCTAACCCAACCTAAGCTAACCTAACCTAACATAACATAACCTAACCTAACCTAAGCTAACCTAACCTAACATAACCTAACCCAACCTAAGCTAACCTAACCTAACATAACATAACCTAACCTAACCTAAGCTAACCTAACCTAACATAACCTAACCCAACCTAAGCTAACCTAACCTAACATAACATAACCTAACCTAACCTAAGCTAACCTAACCTAACATAACCTAACCCAACCTAAGCTAACCTAACCTAACATAACATAACCTAACCTAACCTAAGCTAACCTAACCTAACATAACCTAACCCAACCTAAGCTAACCTAACCTAACATAACATAACCTAACCTAACCTAAGCTAACCTAACCTAACATAACCTAACCCAACCTAAGCTAACCTAACCTAACATAACATAACCTAACCTAACCTAAGCTAACCTAACCTAACATAACCTAACCCAACCTAAGCTAACCTAACCTAACATAACATAACCTAACCTAACCTAAGCTAACCTAACCTAACATAACCTAACCCAACCTAAGCTAACCTAACCTAACATAACATAACCTAACCTAACCTAAGCTAACCTAACCTAACATAACCTAACCCAACCTAAGCTAACCTAACCTAACATAACATAACCTAACCTAACCTAAGCTAACCTAACCTAACATAACCTAACCCAACCTAAGCTAACCTAACCTAACATAACATAACCTAACCTAACCTAAGCTAACCTAACCTAACATAACCTAACCCAACCTAAGCTAACCTAACCTAACATAACATAACCTAACCTAACCTAAGCTAACCTAACCTAACATAACCTAACCCAACCTAAGCTAACCTAACCTAACATAACATAACCTAACCTAACCTAAGCTAACCTAACCTAACATAACCTAACCCAACCTAAGCTAACCTAACCTAACATAACATAACCTAACCTAACCTAAGCTAACCTAACCTAACATAACCTAACCCAACCTAAGCTAACCTAACCTAACATAACATAACCTAACCTAACCTAAGCTAACCTAACCTAACATAACCTAACCCAACCTAAGCTAACCTAACCTAACATAACATAACCTAACCTAACCTAAGCTAACCTAACCTAACATAACCTAACCCAACCTAAGCTAACCTAACCTAACATAACATAACCTAACCTAACCTAAGCTAACCTAACCTAACATAACCTAACCCAACCTAAGCTAACCTAACCTAACATAACATAACCTAACCTAACCTAAGCTAACCTAACCTAACATAACCTAACCCAACCTAAGCTAACCTAACCTAACATAACATAACCTAACCTAACCTAAGCTAACCTAACCTAACATAACCTAACCCAACCTAAGCTAACCTAACCTAACATAACATAACCTAACCTAACCTAAGCTAACCTAACCTAACATAACCTAACCCAACCTAAGCTAACCTAACCTAACATAACATAACCTAACCTAACCTAAGCTAACCTAACCTAACATAACCTAACCCAACCTAAGCTAACCTAACCTAACATAACATAACCTAACCTAACCTAAGCTAACCTAACCTAACATAACCTAACCCAACCTAAGCTAACCTAACCTAACATAACATAACCTAACCTAACCTAAGCTAACCTAACCTAACATAACCTAACCCAACCTAAGCTAACCTAACCTAACATAACATAACCTAACCTAACCTAAGCTAACCTAACCTAACATAACCTAACCCAACCTAAGCTAACCTAACCTAACATAACATAACCTAACCTAACCTAAGCTAACCTAACCTAACATAACCTAACCCAACCTAAGCTAACCTAACCTAACATAACATAACCTAACCTAACCTAAGCTAACCTAACCTAACATAACCTAACCCAACCTAAGCTAACCTAACCTAACATAACATAACCTAACCTAACCTAAGCTAACCTAACCTAACATAACCTAACCCAACCTAAGCTAACCTAACCTAACATAACATAACCTAACCTAACCTAAGCTAACCTAACCTAACATAACCTAACCCAACCTAAGCTAACCTAACCTAACATAACATAACCTAACCTAACCTAAGCTAACCTAACCTAACATAACCTAACCCAACCTAAGCTAACCTAACCTAACATAACATAACCTAACCTAACCTAAGCTAACCTAACCTAACATAACCTAACCCAACCTAAGCTAACCTAACCTAACATAACATAACCTAACCTAACCTAAGCTAACCTAACCTAACATAACCTAACCCAACCTAAGCTAACCTAACCTAACATAACATAACCTAACCTAACCTAAGCTAACCTAACCTAACATAACCTAACCCAACCTAAGCTAACCTAACCTAACATAACATAACCTAACCTAACCTAAGCTAACCTAACCTAACATAACCTAACCCAACCTAAGCTAACCTAACCTAACATAACATAACCTAACCTAACCTAAGCTAACCTAACCTAACATAACCTAACCCAACCTAAGCTAACCTAACCTAACATAACATAACCTAACCTAACCTAAGCTAACCTAACCTAACATAACCTAACCCAACCTAAGCTAACCTAACCTAACATAACATAACCTAACCTAACCTAAGCTAACCTAACCTAACATAACCTAACCCAACCTAAGCTAACCTAACCTAACATAACATAACCTAACCTAACCTAAGCTAACCTAACCTAACATAACCTAACCCAACCTAAGCTAACCTAACCTAACATAACATAACCTAACCTAACCTAAGCTAACCTAACCTAACATAACCTAACCCAACCTAAGCTAACCTAACCTAACATAACATAACCTAACCTAACCTAAGCTAACCTAACCTAACATAACCCTAACCTAACCTAACCTAACCTAACCTAACATAACCTAACATAACCTAACCCAACCCAACCTAACCTAACCTAACCTACACATCAGCAATAATGCGTCCACAGGTGAAACTACAATAGAAAAGACTGCATTACCTCTTTCTTGATCATGTGTTGGCAACGATGAGATTCAATAATTCAGCCTTGACATTTCCCTCTGTGAGGGAAATTTATTTATCTTGCAGGTTAAGTAATTATTCCATCCTTTCTCCAGAAGCAAAGTGTCATAATATTTAAAAATGCCATTAATATATACTAACAACACTTACACGATAAAGACTAACAATATAATATAATTGAGAAATGTGCACCACCACCTTTTGAACACTACGCATCGTGCATTTTGTATGATACGAATTTCAAAGTTCAAACCACATATGAGAACTTACTGTATCATAATTTAATCAAACATCTTTTAATTTGACCTGATTTAATCTAACATATTGTCCATGCTATATTTCTTATTTGATAGCATGAATCTTAATGCAATCATACTTTTAGAATAGAATAGACGTATTTACTCTCATTGTTATAAAATCTAACGTTGATATCCATAGCAACAGTTTAATGTTTACAAGTGAATTTGAGACTTTACTGCGAGGTCTGTGATTTAATTTCTTCAGGTAAGAATCTGTCATTTTTATATGGTAAAGCAAATCGGTAACTATTTTTAATTTTCAAAATTATGAGCTGGCAGAACAGTTTTCATGCTTTTCCATACTTATCAGATTGTTCTGTGTTTATTCTGTCAACCGTGACGTATTCACTCTCATTGTTACAAAACTGGCGTTGGTATCCACGACAACAGTTTGTTTAGAAGCGAACTTGAGCAGTACTGACAGTTCTAAGGTTTAGTTTCTGTAAATAAGAAATTTTCGTCATGAAATATGACAACCGAAGTCGGTAAGTATTTTTATCCTCTAAGATAAGGAATTAAAATGTTCTCGAACAAATTTACGGCCGGATTATATTGTCGTTTAAAGTCCGAAAAGTGCATTTGTGGTCATTTCATTGCAATTTTCGAATAAAATTGGTATATGTGGTAAACTGCATGAACGTGAAAAATCTTCTTTGTGTTCTAACTGAAGCATTTAAGAGAAAAAAACAAGTAGCGAGTTTATTTTCATGAGCCGGGGTAGCTCAGTCGGTATAGTGACTGACTACAGACTGGACGACCGGGGTTCGATCCTTGACAGGGGCATATAATTTTTCCCCTAGCCTCTGCGTCCAGACCAGCTCTGGATACAATTTATGAAGTCAAATTGAGACTGGTGAAATGGAAAGAATGTAAGAATGAAGCAGATGTGGCCTAGTTCGCAGCACATTTTAGATACTTTCGTCCTCTCGTATCCCACTGACTTATACAGTGGTAACAATTGGCACTATCTTCCACCCCCACTCTCACAACGTGTCTACCTTAATCAATTTTAATATTATCCTTATATATATCCGTCTTTCAAGGGGCCTT